CCGACCCACTGAATTGGGCTTAAACTCAAAGGAAAAACATTCCATGGACCCACTTTTCTACCCTAGCCCCATCTGAATGGTTTCCAACGTCATTCGTTGTTTGAACAAGAACTGGATATTTCTGGCCCAAAAAAAAAGAACAAGAATTGGATATTCCCCTGGTATATAAAAAAAAAAAAAGAACCAGATATTCTTACTAATCAATCAACAGACAAGCCCCACAATGGCCAATGCAGGTTAGATTTAGTAGGAATTAGCTGCTCACCAGAATTCGAATTATTATTAAGAAAAATATTTATATTTAATGTGATTGTCTCCACTAAGAAGATATGAAAAACCACACGATAGACTAATTTATTTCATCAAGAATCTACTCTGATAGCTAACAAGAGTTTGTTGACGGGTAACCTGTAAGTATTTTTGTAAGTATTTTTAAAATATGAAAACATATCTTGGTCTTAGTAAACTCTCATGATCCAATTTATCTATAAAAAAATTTTGTATCAAAACCCTTTGAATTTACAAACGCTAAGACGGTTAATGAGCCCAATTAATTCAGCAATGACAAGGGGGAACAGAGGTAAGTACACAGGTGAAAGCAGTGATCCATCTACCCTCCCCATCTTCTACAACGACTCCGCATCCGCTTCTTTTCGTCTTGAAGAATTGAGCCGTCTGTCTGTAGTTTCCCTCGCTATCCAAAACTTTAATTCACCTGCTCTCCAAAACAATAAAAATAATTGTCAGAGCAATGAATTGGCCGCTACCATTCGTTTGTAACAGCACCTTGTGTACCTTCTCCCTCCTCCTCGCCTAACCTCATGAAACGACAAAATACTCCGTCTGGCATGTTCTGTGACGAATGCCTGAAGCCCTGAATGGATGGAAATTATGCGTATTAATTACAATTTTTTAAAATTTTTTATTTACTTAATATCTGATACGGTTTCTTTTATAATTTATTGGGATTTAAATATGGGTAAATTTATTTTTTTCCAATTTTCAAACCATGTAAACAAATAACTTTCTTCAATCCCATTTATATTTTACTTCTAATGTTCTTTTTTTTAACTGGAATCAAAGAAATTCTTAAAACTCATTAATTCCATCTAGAACACAAATAAAATTTCCTATTTTACACATATTAATTAATTACATCCTTAAAGAAGCTTCTCCCTTGTTTAAAATGCAAAAATAGTAATAAATAATCAATGCATTCTAGTATCTTTTGAAAAAGTATCTCAAATCTCTCCTTTAGATGCCATATAAATAGAACCGGAGCAAATAACTATTTTTTTAATCATAATTCACACAATCATCATATCTTTTATGGAAAGTTTGAACTCACAACATCATATTTTTTTTAAAAAAAACTTTTGAGAGAATTGCTTAGGGTTAGTTGCCCTGCAAAACAGCGAGAATAACTACTTTTTTTTTTTCAAATTATAGTAAGATGACTAGAGGTGTCTTGTCATAAGAATTAAAATCCCGTTTGGTATGAAATACTGAAAATAAGAGATTAAGATTATGGTTATAATTGAAAAAAATTACTAGAATAGTATTTACTATAAGTAATTACTTGTTATATGGGATTAGACAAACCTGTAAAGGTAAGATTGGGGAATACCACTTCCCCCCATGGTATTCCTCAATCCCATATACATGGTTTTAACCAATCCTACACAACAAGTAATCTCTTGTACTAAACACTCTTTTAATAGACTATTTCAATCTCAATCTCAATCTCAATCTCTATTTTTCATTTTTAATGCTTCCTACCAAACATAACCTAAGAGTAGAGGAGGAAATTAATAAATTTGTGCTCCTCTACGACATACTTTATACAAGGGTTTAGGTAATTAATAATTAATCTAATGCACTCACTTGTCCCATATATAAAGCACTCCTGTTGAAATCCTCTTTAAATTAGGGTATTTTCTAAAAAAAATATTAAATACCCAAAATATTAATGCAGAGTATGACTCGTATATTTTTACTACCATACAATTCTTCAGGAGAGCGGGGAGTACATGAAGTTATCACTAAGACAAGATTTCACCTTCAGGTGTTCAAGCAAAGCCAATTGTTAGCTTAATTTCAACAAATTCTCCACCATGAGAGCTTTCTCAATCTCATCTAAGAATGAGAAAAAATTAATGCGATTGATAAGAATTTAGTTCATAACTCACAAGGTAATAGATTTAAATTATATTGTCAATGTGAGAATTTTATTAGTAGACAATTTATAAATATTTCTGTAAGTATTTTTTAAGCCCCCAAACATATGCTCACCTTAATGAGCTTTTGAAACTCAGCTCACCTAAATTTTTTAATTAAAATAAAAAAAGAAGGATGAGATTAATAGGACTCCTTATTATTGCCAGGATTGTTAAATAACTTTTTCCAAAATATAATCACACTTGTTTACAATTTTCCAACATTTTTTAAACCATACTTTTAAAATAGGGATAAACTTAAAAAAGTTATTTTGTTCCTAGACAGTTTTAATACCACAGCTCCTTCATTTTAACGGTTTCAATGCTTATTAAGAGTGATAAGCATCTAAGCCTAGATGATTCTAATTTAATTTTCTTATTTTTCTTTTTTAAATTATTTTAATGCATACATAATCTAAAATATATTAAGATATAAACCCTTAACTATGAGTTTTTTAAAGAATATTTTTTATTTAAAAATTCTCTGTAAAAAATTTTAAATCTCAACCATTAAAACTATATATAGAAATTAAAGTGAAAATATTACCCTAACGATGAGTACCCAAACTAGGAGAAGAGAGCTAGCTAGTTATATCATACTACCTTCAGTCTTTAATATAAGAGTTAGTTTGACTTTTAATTTGGTCCTAAATATAATCCAAATCCATTTTGTCTTTCATATTTATTTATTTTTTCAAAGTAGTCCTTGTAGTATTTATCCATGTTAAAAGTTCTATCAAATAATAGTTTTAACTAATACACATAATTAACAAAGGTATTTTAGGAAAAACAACATTTATTTATTACAAATAACTAATTTAAATAATTTTTTAATTTTTTCAAATTAGTCAACTAGTCTTATATTAAGAATTAGGTAGATCGTACTACTTCAATCTTTAATATAAAAATTTATTTGACTTTTATTTTGATTTTAAATATAAGACCCCAACCATTTTGTTTATCATATTTATCTATTTTTTTAAAGATAGTCATTATAATAATGGTAGTTTTAGTCAATATATATATTTAATTAGTGAAAATATTTTAGAAAAGATATTACCTATTTATTATAGATAATTAACTTAACTAATTTTTTAATCTATTTAAATTAGTCAATTAATTTTATATTAAAAACAGAATATTATATTTAGTTATTTACAATAAAAAAGAGTAATTTTTGTTTCATTCGGACCTAAACTAAAGTAGTGGTGAAAGCGACTCTCATCGGGCGGGTTTTTTTTCTTCCCAGTTGCTCTCTCCACCCTCGCCTCCTGTCCATATAGAAGGAATATTCACCAAAAGTAAACGCAGATTGTACGTATGGTTGAATTTCCAATCCACTACAACTAACCAATGCATCCCGATTATAAAATACTACTTCCGGTTCTAATTATAAGAGCCAATTGACTAATTTAAAAAGATTAAGAAAGTAAGTTGAGTTAGTTATTTGTCCTAAATAGGTGTTGTCTTTTCTAAAATATCCTTACTAGTCAAGTTATTAACTAGAACTCCTATTATTAGAAGGACTACTTTGGAAAAAAAAATATAAATATGAGGGACAAAATGGATGGGGGTCTTATATTCAGAATCAAAATAAAAGTCAAACAGGGTTTTATATTAAGGACCGGATGTAGTATTAAAATCTTAATAATTATATTGCTTTGTCCAGTTTTTAATATAATATATAGTTAGTTAAAAATTAAATTTGATCATAAATATAATACCTCAATTCACTTTATTTTTAAAGTTTATAATATTTTTCTAAAATATTTAATTAATTATAAGAGATTATCATTAATGGATAATTTTAATGTATATGATTAACAAGAATAGTTTAAAAAAGTTATATGCATTTGTTGTAATTAGCCTACTTAACTAATTTTTTTTAATTAGTTATTTAGTTAGGGATGAGGTAGTATTGTAAGTGTTTTCAACTTATGGGGACCTCTATCTAGAATGTGGGTTCGTCATAAAATGGAAGAATATTTTCAAAGTTAAAGGGTAGGGCACAGAGCAGAAGTCATTAATTTATGGGGTCAAGTAATAGTAAAAGAAGGCGAAGTTGGGGGAGAAAAGTAGGGTGGTGTTGGCAAATAGAAGCAAGACACATATAGACAAGTACTATTCACAAACAATTAAATGAGTAGATGTGCCCCAAGCATATGGAAAAAGCCCCTCACTTTAAGCATCTAATCTAACCTAATAATATTTCAATTCATCCTATGCTACTACCTTAGTATATATATGACTCACCCGTCACCCATGCATGAGTCAACAACCATTCCAATTTCCAATCCCCTCTAGAGAAGCACACGTTTCAGTATTTATATGTCTAATTAAGCGGTTTTATGTTGTATGAATGAAAAGAGTTTTATATAGTAAGATGTAAAAGTGGGGCTTTTTTTTAAAAAAAAGAAAGAACCATATGTATGTATTTATACGTATATTTGATATATATATATATATCTGAAAGAATAGTGAAGCGGGAAATCTTGGAAATTCTTAATTCCATCACTTCTGGGCTGTAAGACTCCATCAAATATATATATACACACACACGATTTTATTCTATTTGAAGTATATAGCTATGGGACAGATGGCACGGGTCTTAAAAAATGAAAGGGAGAGGTTAAAAAAAAAAAAAAGAGTTTATTCCATTGTCGTTATCCTTTGTACTTTTGAATATCCGGACTGTTTATAAATACCAGTGTGATGAGCTCCTCCCATGGACTTTGGGGCCACCTTTCTTGTTCCTTGTAAGGTATAATCAAGGTTCTTGTTTCCATGAGAAGGCCTTGCTCTGAGAAACCAGACTCCCAGAAACGATCTTGGTCCAGGGAAGAAGACCAGAAACTCATTGATTACGTTCAAAAACATGGTGAAGGTTGCTGGCCTTCACTTCCTCAGGCAGCAGGTATGTGTGTGTGTATATATATAAAATATTTAGGGTTCAATATCTTCGTTCTGATGTATCAGACCAAGTAAAGATGCTGTATATTTATGTTTGTATGTTCAGATTCACTTGGTGTTTCTGGGTGAACAAAGTAGAATAAAGATGATCATGATCCGTTTGTTTGTTTTGCTACTGATGTGAACCGAAAAGAAAAAGTAAAGATTATGATCGTTTGTTAATTGAGTTTTGTGTTTGGACGATGATGATGGTGATGATATGTTAGGGTTGCGTCGCTGCGGAAAAAGCTGTCGGTTGAGATGGTTAAATTATCTGAAGCCTGACATTAAACGAGGAGACTTCGGAGAAGACGAAGAGGACTTGATCATCAGGCTTCATGCTCTTCTTGGCAACCGGTAATTCATTCATTTTTTCCTATATACTTCTTTTATTTTCTATTCCTTTTTTCTTTACCAACTCTGAAATTTTTTGGTGTGATTCTTGTTTGGATTGTGATATTATACATACATACATACATATAAGTACACTTTCTGGCAAGTATATATATGCATCAGCTTCATCATCCGTACAATTGGTTTTGCTCTTTTTGCTGCTTTGGTCCACATACGAAATACTAGGTACTGTATACACGAGAGATTTTTTTTTTGGTTTAATTTAAAAAAAGAACTGCGATCTGTGTATATTTTTGAAGCTGGAAGGAGAGTTATGTGCTGTCAGTGAAATTAAAAAAACATTGTGTAATTTACACCTCTTGTGACAAAAGTTACTTTTCCGGTCCTTAATATAAGATTTATTTAATTAATTTGATTAGATTAAGAAAGTTAGGTAAATTAGTTAATAGTAAGAAATATGACATGTTTTTCCCAAACTCCATAATTATCTTTTTTAATATCCTTTCTCCCTCACTTATTTGATTATGATATTGAGGGTGTATCCACAGAGATAATTTAGAAAAAATTAATAAATATAAAAAATAAGTCTTCTATTTAAGACCAAAATTAACTTAATAATTAGATCCTATATTAAGGACCAAAGGAGTACTATGTACTAACTCTGTTCCTAATTATAAAGGCTAGTTGACTAATTTGAGAAGAGTAAAGAAATAAGTTAAGTTAGTTATTTATAATAAATAGGTATTGTCTTTCTTAAAATATCCTTGTTAATTAAGTGCGTTGGCTATAACTCTCATTATTAGAAGGACTACCTTAGGAAAAAAATACATAAATATTAGAGACAAAGTAGATTGGGTTTTTATATTTAGAACCAAAATAAAAGTCAAACGAGATCTTATATTTAGGACCGAGGTAGTATATATTATCAGTGAATGAAAATATATGTAGTCTTTGATATCATTAGTATCAATACAACACATTTCCTTGACTCAGTCATTAAATTTGACTAATATAGAGTAACTAACACTGAAATTCTGCATGCAACTGTACGTCTGTGTGGATATATCAGCTTTTTCTTTCCCCCTCCATTTTCATTTAATGTTCAAGTGGTAATAATAAGGATCTCCCTCTAACTTTCAAAAGTAAATTAAAGCGTGTAGCTAGACACACCTGCAACTACTCCCTCATGCGTATATGTAAAAGCAAACTTATTTTGAAGGTATCGATGGAAAGAATTCCAATAGCTGCATAAAATATACGTACATTAGAGAAATGATTTATACATTCGATGAATTATTTGGTTCAGGTGGTCACTGATAGCTGGAAGATTACCAGGAAGAACTGATAACGAGGTCAAGAATTACTGGAACTCGCACATAAGAAAGAAGCTTATTCAGATGGGTCATGATCCCAATAATCTTCGCCATCGCTTAATTAAAGGCTCTATATTTATTGGAACTACTGCGAAATCCATTATTATTGACGAAGAAGCTAATCCCCACAAGGAAGATGATGATGATGATGAACCTTCCAATAATAATAATAATCCAGCAGCCAAAAACTTGCAGAATGATGATGATGATGATGATCATCAGGTATTTGATGAGTCATCATCAACAAGCAAGGCCACCAAGCTCAACCTCAACGCTTTTCCAGATTTGAATCTTGATCTCACCCTCACTACTTATCATCACTGCAGTGATCATTGAGACTGATATCATCAGAGTATTCCTATATATATCTATAAGCATATATATATAGGATGTTCTTATAACCATAAGTCAAATTCTGCACATATACAAGTTCATTGACGATGATCAGTTTCTACTCATTATTCTGTAGGTGTAATTGAATATGATTCTGCATATAACGAATTTATATGGCATTAACGTGGAGGCAGTGGAAGAGTATTGTAACTGTGATCAGTGTTTACGATTAAAGCAAATGATAGTTTATGTTTATCAGCAGTTTGCTCCATGTGAACACACACACACACATACAATTCGATTGAATAATGATGCTTATATTAATTACCTGTATTTTGAGAATCATATGTAGTAAATTAAGGCTTTGGCTGGTAAGAATAAAAACATATAATGCAGATGATGAAGTTCATAAATTTCGAGCTTGAAATGTTGTTTCCAGACTTTCTTTTAATTTTATATGTTTTGGGCGACAAAGATGAAAATTTTCATTTTCTACGCAAATTAAGCACAATATTGTCATATGATTCATGTAGCCGACTCCACCTAGTGGGATAAGACTTGTTGTCGTTGTTGTATTAATAATTCAAGTCACCCAAGTTATGAAAATGAAATATACGAGAGTTACCTTATTATATACGGCCAGGGCCCGCAGTACATTTTCCGAGAAAATCCACCCCGCAAATTTCTTAGTCAACACAAGCATAAAATGTTTGCGTGTTAGGTACGCATATGTATAAATATACTCCTTTAGCCTTAAATATAATACTTATTTGGTAGTATATTATAAAATGAGTCTTACATTTAAAACACGACAGGCTATATATTTGTCATGTGGTTTGCTTTTATATCCTTCTCGTTAGTTCTCTAAAATAAAAGGGAGGGACATAAAGATCCGGAACGGATATGAGATTAATCTGTTTTTGTTCTATTCTGCAACTTTAATTAAGAACCATATATATTCCAAGAGATATTTGTAACTTTGAGATCCGAATCCTTTTCACTTCCCGAAACTGCGTATCGATCGGAAAAACGAAGAAAGATATGTATGGGTAAACTTGAGGAAAGTGGAATAATGGAAACCAAACGTTCAAAGTTAAACGATACAGTCAAAGCAAATTTTAGTAGGGTTAGTGGCACATGCTTAGCTTCCACCACAATCTCTGTCAAAAAAAATAAAATAACTAACCTAACGTTCAAGAACGAAACTAGAAAGGAAAAAGAGATACACACACACACATAGTGAGAGTAAATGCCCTAAAAGCAGTGATATTGCGAGATTTCTACATTTGCCATAATTTAAAGCTGAATTGATGTCTGGAAGGTAAATGTCTGGTCTTTATCATTTATTGATACTATTGCTCTTGGACGGCTCCTTTTTGAAAAAAATTATGACACGTCCTGCCATTCAAATTCAAGCAATTTGCTAGCAAGCTAGATTCGACATTTTAAGAGGTCAAAGATTTTTCATTAAAAAAAAAAAAACATTTGGTATACCATTCTATTGAATATTACTAATTTGGCTTAGAGCCGTACTAGGTCCTACCTCCTAGTAGGTAGATGAGAGGAAACTCACTTAAACGCATTTTTTAATGTTCCCCAAACTCAAATTTAAAACCTTTATTTGAAGTTACCGAATCCTTATCTAAATGTATTAATTAATTAATAGAGGTAAAACTCTTTCCGTCTTTTGTTATCAAGTAGTTTTTGAATTGACATGGAATAAATATTTATTACCTTATATAGATATACCCTTTTTCAATCTTTAAGAACTACTTAATTAATTTGAATAAATATAATAAATATAATAAATGAAGTTCTTATATTTAAAACTAAAATCAACTTTTAACTAATTCATGCATTTTAGAACTGCAGGAGTACATGATGCCCCAAAAAAAACTCACTATGATATAAAAATTGTTCTATTTCGACCTACTAAGGAGCTTTTGTTTCTCCTGTAAACAAGATCCTTGAACAATTTAAGGGACTCAACCATGGAAAACACCAAAAAAAAAAAAAGACAGATTATTCTTGTTCTCTAAAACCATATACCAGATTGATTGATTTTTCTTTTCCTCTTCTAGACCTTCTAGGTGGATTTCTTTTCGCCAATTACCTTCTCGGGGGATCGAGAATATATTGAAAGCCAATTATATAAATTTCAAAACGTTGAGGATTTAATTATTAGAAATTTCTCGTTCACGTTGCCATATAATTAAGAAGTCACTATTTGTTTATCATCAGAATTAGGAAGCCATAAAACAACCACTCTAGCTACCTCCTATCCTTAATATAAGAGCTAATTTAACTTTTAATTTGGTTCTAAATATAAGAATTCAATCTACTTTGTCTTTAACATTTATGTATTTTGTCTTTAAATAATTTCTATAGTAGTTACAAGGAGTTATATCAATGGGTAATTTAAACACACATGATTAATAAGAATGTTTTAAGAAAAACAACAACTATTTACTACAAATAACTAACTTAACTAATCCCTTTAAATTAGTTAACTAAGTATTATATTAAAGATAAAAGAAATCGTATGTGATATTGGCCTGTTACACTATTTTTCTTCCTTGTTTTAGGTGAAAGCTAAGTTCAGACTTTCTTGTTTTAGGCTTCAAACCTGACCCTACTGAGTTTAGCTAGGAACATGAGGATTAGAAAAAAAGTCTACTGATTCGGAAAAGAAATCTGACATGGGTAAAGTCGTTGAACCATTATTTTGGTTTGCCATGCACGTAAAAAGTTAAAACAAATTTCAAACCTTTCGCGACATTATTGAGAGCGCGCACACACGTACCCAAACATATATACAAGCTAAGTGAATATCCGTGTGTGTGTGTGTGTGTGTGAATATTTCTGGCATGGATGTACGAAAACGGATCCGTATGGAACTTTGGAATGCCAATATTAACACTAACTTAGCACAGTAAAAATATATGCACATGATTAGATTCATATATAATTTTTGTTCCTCGACCTTATTTTCTTCTGAGAATTAAAGATGTTGATTGAGGAGGTGTTTTGGTGAAAATAAAATTATGATTTTAAAAATATTTTAATGATATACAAAATGAATATGTGAAAAAAATTTGTCTCGATTTACAAAAAAATATTTTTTTAAAAACTTTTTTAACAATCAAAATACCCTTTTCATTTCCTTGGTTATTTTTCACCTTCCATCTCAAGCTAGCCTTCTTCACATGGTGATATGGATGGGAAATCTAACGGTCAACTAAAATCCAGGTGATCGATTTGGAATCTCCTGCGTTTGTGTGTATCCCACGCTAGCTAGGACGACTTCCACTAAGTACAGGGAGAATACACACATATATATAAGGGTTAATATAATCTTTAAGTCATTTAAATTTGTTTTTATTTTGATTTTTATTCCTTAATTTTAAAATCATCAGTTTTAGTCTCTCAAGGAGTAAAAGCGAATTAAAGGAACCAAAAATTATGTTAACACTATATAAAAAAAATGCTTAAATTGAGTTCATTGTATTGATTGTGCCAAGTTATTCAATCAAACATTGACATATGTCTTTTTTTATGTGAATTTCTAATTTAATGATAATATTTTAAAAATATGTTGGAGAACTTGATATAATGGAAGTAACTTGACATAAATATTATGGTATATACATAATACCTGGCTAGGTTCACCATATAGTACTATATATGAATTATATTCTATAATTTAATTTCCAGGCTTGTCTCTTAAGTATCCGATGGGAGTTGTCATCAATTTCTCACCTTCCCTGTCGAAGACTTCTTGACGATGTCGATGAGTAGTAGTGTGCGTTATATGCGGAATGAGCCACGTGCCAAAATTTACAAAAAAACAAAACAAAAAAAATCTAACGGTCAACTGAAAAGAATGTGATAATTTTTTAGGGCTAGTTCTATGTTGGGAAGACTTTTCCTAGCCCTGTACTGGACTATAAATAAACAAACTTAAGCAAGCATATATGCTATATATATATATATATATATATATATAGAACAGTCAGCTAATATATAAATATTGTGATGAGAAAACGTCAACGTCTAGCATTTTGAGCTGAAAACCAGGTAAACTGTGGGTGGTTGAGAAGCAATATTGATGAGGATTCAGTGAACTGAACTTTTCGTATGAGTGTACGTAATTTAATTTTCACCTCTCTGTGTGTCTCTCTCTCTCTTTCATGTTCGTCCCTCAAACATCTTTAATTTTGAATGAACGAGAACGCTTGTACGTACCTAGATTTGCGCCCACTTATAATAATCCCGTGGGGTTGCTAGTTTTAGTTGTTGGTTGGGACAAAGGCTAAAACTAACTAATAAAGAGTTAGGAAAATGTCATAAATCAATGTGTGTGTTTATAATCAAAAGGATTCTTATTTCTTAGTCTGTCAACTTATTAGTCTGATATAAGGACTCTTCTTCTTTAAGCCAGTAAATAGTTAAGAATTTGATTACCAATAATCTTCTTTGCACTTTGAACAAACCCCAAGATTTTGGTTCATTATATATATAGCAAGTGATATATGAAGCAAATCTGATTGGAAGGATATATTATTTACAATCCCTGATTAGTGCTTTAATTACCTCAAAAGATGCTAGTGTCCACTACACCTGATGGAGATTAATCCTAATGTCTCGCCCCTTTTACAAGAAAAAACAATCTGGGTCCTAATGTCTTCAATTTTTCCTTGAAATTTTTCCCTCAAAACCTAATATCAATAAATATCTCCCGCCTCTGACGCTTCTTAAATCCCAACAGTCCTACACGCACGCGAGCGCATTTTTCTCTTCAAATTAATAAAGGTGTATACTATCAATAAGAATTAGTCCAATTAGTAAAGAATTAACTCATAATCTATAAAGTTGTGAGTTCCAATCTCACCATTGATATGACGATCTTGTTAATGAGTGATTTATCAATACCTTTATAAGCGCCTTTTGAGTTTGGAGCATTTCTAACTCTAGCGAGCTCTTAAGATTCAACTTATTTAATTTTTTTTTTTACCAAAAAAAGGTGTATACTATGTAA